GCGCAAGCGATCAAGGACGTCGCGGAGGTGTCTGAGGTGCTCCTCAAGGGTACGACTATAGACCAGGATATCGCCGAGGTAGACGAGAACGTACTCCTCCAGGATGTCCCTGAAGATGTCATTCATTGCCCTCTGGAAGGTAGCGGGTGCGTTGGTGAGGCCGAACGGCATCACCGTGAACTCGTAGTGGTCGAATCGTGATCGGAACGTTGTCTTCGGCTGGTCGGCTACAGCGACGCGGATCTGATGGTAACCGCTACGAAGATCAATCTTCGTAAAGAAGCGGTTGCCTGCTAGGCCGTTGAACAGCTCATCGGAACGAGGCATGGGGGAGATGTTCTTAACCGTGTAGCGGTTGAGGCCGCGGTAGTCGATGCAGAGACGAAGAGTTCCATCCGCTTTGCGAGCAAACAATCCGCTTTGCGAGCAAAGAGGACGGGTGCACGCCACGAGGAGTTGCTGGGTTTAATGAAACCCAGTCTCAAGAGCTCCTCAAACTGACGTTTGAGTTCGGTGGCCTCGGGGATCGAGAGTCTGTAGGGTGCCTGGTGGTGAACATGATAGTCAAGCATGAGCTGAATGGAATGCTCAACGTCACGCATCGGTGGGATGCCGGTGTACGAGAACGATGATGGGAAAACGTCGTGGTACTCTCGGATGAGGTAACGAACTGCGGGCTCCAAGTCAGCCGTATATCGTGCGAGTTCCTCAGCGTCAGCGCCAGCGCGCGACGGCGGGGTGGACTCGACGGACGACGGAGGGACGGAAGTAGAGATGGGAGCCATGGAGATAGAGGGGGGATCAGGGTTCAGAGGGATGAGCTCGGCGTCGGGACAGGGTGGAGCATAGTGTAAGAGATCCGTCACGTCCACCATAAAGAAGGTGACGTCGTCCTGTCGAATGAAGTGAGCGAACTGCTGAGGCGAGGTGACAGTGATAGAGGGAGATGGTGTGGGCACTAAAGGCTCCGGGGGAGGAGGATCGGGGCGTGGTGTCGTCGTGGTACCTATGAAAGGTACGCGATACGTCTGTCCACACTTCGTTTTGAGAACAAGAGTGTCGGTCGCCCAATCGGCCTCGGTGCTGCGGAACCGACGAGACCACGAAGTGCCGAGAATGAAGTCGTACCCCGTCTCCATCACATTGAAATGTGCAGACGAGAGGTGGCGACAAGACGCCGGGGAATGCTCAGTCGGCTCGAGAGTGAGGAAGAAGGGGAGGTCGGTGACCGTCTGATCGAAGAAGCGCTGGGTCTTGTCATCCCCTAGGGTAACGGAGATGGGAGTCGGAGACCCTGTCGTGGGTAAGCGGGCTGCCTTCATCACGCGTGGGTGAATGAAGTCGCCCTGAGAACCGGAATCCCACAGCGCTGAGTACACCCTCGTGGAGGTCCCGAGTCGTACGGGGATGATCGGGAGGGTGCGATCAGGGTCAAAGAGGATGGCGAGAAGGCGATGCAATGCAGCGACATGGAGGGTGAATCGCTCCTCATGAGCCTGGAGCATGCTCAAGTCCAGCAGAGAGGACACAACGTCCTTGCGAGTAGCAAGCTGCTTGCTGCAACGGGCTGAGCGAATGGCTCGATGCGTCAGTAGTCGCGGCGGGGAAGGAGGGGAGACGGTGGTCTGCGGAGGCGTAGACGGTACTGCGACAGAGGGCGGAGTACACTCTGTCGAGTCCTGCGATACCTCAATTCCAGTAGCGAGAGGGGCGAACCGCGACGGAGATATCGGGAAGCCCACTACTGAGGAGGGCGCAGGTGTACACTGCACCGTGGCTAGGAGGCGCCGCGGGGACGTGAGGCGCCGGGGGGGGACTGAGCAC